CCTACATACATACCTACCGACCTACCGACCTACATGCATAAGCACATACCTACATGCCTGTACATGCATATACATATATATATATATATACATACATACGCACATACCAACATACATACATGCATGCATACATACATACGCTCACACACACACACACACACACACACACACACACACACACACACGCGCGCTGCTCCTCCGCCGGCGAAGATGCCACCACGGTCGCTCGCGGGTCAAGTCTGGTGCGCGGCGCGCCCGCACGAACAGCACCCAGGGTGGCTGACGAGGCGGTCGTGAACGGTCGAAGCGAGAGGGAGGGACCTTCGACTGGCCAGCGTGCACGACAGACTGGTCAGAGCCCGTCGGATGCCGCCCCATCCTGGGTGCGGAGAGGCGCATCACCCATTGCGGGGGCGCGCCGGCAGTGAGGCGGCGAAGCGTGCGAGCCAAGGCGGAAGGCACAAGTACCAGCCCACGGCGCAGTGACGAAGCCGTCGTCTGCCCTCGATCTCTGCAGTTGTTTGCCGCCGCCGTCGGCATGTATGTGCTATGAGCTGTTGCTTACCTGCCTGCTCGTCTTCTTCGTTCGATGCATCCCGTTGCTCTTCCGCTCCTCCTCCTCGCAGTGATTGCACCGAGGGGCGTCTGTGTGTGACGAAGGGGACACCGACTCTCCCACTCGTCCTCTTCCTGCTCCTCAGCATCATAATCATCGGATTCCCTTTCTATTTCCTCCGACCTCTTTCCTTTCCTTCCCATCACCTGCTCGTCTTCCTCCTCCGCCTTCTCCTCCCCCCTTCCCCCCTTCCTCATTCTCGTCCTGCCCCTCTGTTTCCTCCTTCTCCTCCTCATCCTCACCCTCATCCTCCTTCTCCTCCCGCTCCTCTTCCTCGTCTATAGTCATCGCCTGTCTCCTTCTCCCACTACGTCGTCCTCCTTCTCATCATCCTGGTTTCCTCCTCGTCATCGTGCCCATCCGTCTTTCCCGGAACATCGTGGCCTCCCGCTTCCTCATCTCCCTCTTCCTCCTTCAAGTCGTCCTTCCCCTGCTTCTCCTCCCCGCAGGGAGGCTGGGAATGCAGAACCCGCCTCCCCTCCCCCCCCCCGACGAGCTGGAGCAGTGCCTCCGGTGGCGGAGAGAGTTCCGGGTGGATTACATCGGTCCCGAGCACTTCATGGGCGAGATGAGGAGCAAGAAGGCCTCCTCATCCTCATCATCCTCCTTCTCCTCACTAGCATCGTTATCATCATAATCATCATCATCACCATCCTTTTTCCATCCCTCCTCCTCCTCCTCCTCACCCTCCTCCTCCTCCTTGTCCATCCCGCCTCCTCATCTGGTCAGTCGCCGCCCAGAGGCGAATTTGCCAGTTTTGAGCGTGCCCCTTCTACGATTTCGTTTCCCGATGTTTCACGGCTTCACGGCTTCACGGCTGACATGCTGCCATGCGTAATGGAAGTGTTCTCATCAGGGCTGGCCCGGAGGCTGAGCCGGTGGGTTGGCCAGTGGGTTGGCCGGGGTAAGTCTTCGATCGGTAGTTCTTCCGACCAGATATAGTAGCTTATCGGTGTGCTTTTCTGGTCCTGGCGAGTTTTTGTGGTGACGGATCGGAAAGAATTGTCACGATCTGCCTCCTCCTGACCTTCCCGAGTGGGAGCAAATCTGCAATGAATTAGTCTAGAATTTGGTTGGGAAAGCGGCGGCAGTATATGGCGTGATCAGTGTCTGCCTGGTGAAGGTAGTAAAAGTTTCGTAAATCAAGCGCTCTTCGGGTGCGCAGGAGACTGCAGTGTGCAATTTTGGACGTAATGCGAGCCGAGAAATATGTGTAGCGATCCCAGCGGCAAGAAGCCACAGCCATGGGCCCCTCTTTGCCTCCTCTGCCTCTTCTGTCGCAACCAGACAAGATCCACATGTCCTGTAGGAGTTTGCTGCTGCTACTTCTAGAATACAGCGCACGTTACGAGAGTGAGACTGGGCGTAAGTTCGCGCGTTGCTGGTTTTGATTCTCAGCCGACAAGGTAACCGAATGGTTAAGTCATGCGGGTCTCTCCGCACTGGCGCACACAGCCACTAGTATGTTCATTCCACCCGATCAAGCACGCAGTCATTGATTTGGAGCGCGGGTACACCTCGAATAATCGCATGGCATATGACATGCAAATGTGTCTTGGGTTGATCGGAAAAGAGCTTGCGAGTACTACAAGAAGCGCCTTGCCAGCAGACCCCTACTAACAGAGATTTTATACAGCGAATACGAACTGATGTTCCTCAAACATCCCAGACCAGTTGAGACGCTGAGAAAAGTGTGAGGGCGTTGATGTTGCCCAGCACACTGCTCATTGTTAAGGTCCTACGGCCGGTGCCGCCGACCCTGAAGGCGAAAATGACGACGACGACGACGACGACGACGACGACGACGACGACCGACGACGACGACCAACGACGACGACGACGATTACGACGACGGCGCGCTGATAGGTCTGCCGTTGTCTCAAGTCGGGGTGCGGGGAGGAGGAGGAGGAGGAGGAGGAGGAGGAGGCGGAGGAGGAAGAGGAGGAGAAGGAAGCGGAGGAGGGGGGGGATGAGGAAGGAGGGGGTCGAGGAGGAGGGTGAGGAGGACGAGGAGCGCAAGACGAGGAGGATGAGGAGGAAGAGGAAGAAGGCTACAGCTGTACAGCTTAAGTCAGACCAACGTAAAAGGAGGAGGAGGGAAGGAGGAGGAGTAGGAGGAGGCGGAGGAGGAGGAGGAGGCGGAGGAGGAGGAGGAGGAGAGGGATGATGATGGTGAGGATGGTGATCTGGTGGGCTGTATATGAAGGACGCGAACTCTGTTAGATAATTGTGTGCTCCGACACACCTGCTGCGGTCTGGCGGGGCCCCCTCGGGGGGGTGGAAGGGGCACGAAACCAGGTGAATAATAGGGTGCGCCAGCGCCCTGCCAGAGTCTGGCGGTGCCCCCCTGGAACCCTGGAGGGGCGGGAGGGGCACGAAACCTTGCAAATGATATGGCCACCCTGCCGCGGTCTGGCGGGGCTTAGTGGTGAGACGGGCTCGAGACTTTGTGAATAGGTTGGTACGCCGACAGGCCGACACCCCGCCAGAGTCTGGCGGGGCTCTCCAGGGGGGGCGAGAGGAGCACGAACCTCTGTGAACAGCATGGCGTGCCGGCACCCTGCCAGAGTCTTTTGCGGGGCCTCCCTGGAGGGGTGGGAGGTGCACGAAGCCTGGGCAACGAGATGGCGCGCCGACGCCCTGCCGCGGTCTGGCAGAGCCTCCCATAAAGGGGTGCGAGGGGCACGAGGCCAGGCAAACAATGGCTGCGCACACCCTGCCGCGGTCTGGCGGGGCCTCCCCCGGAGGGGCGGGAGGGGCACGAAGCTGGGCAAATAGTATGGTACACCGACGCCCTGCCGCGGTCTGGCCGGGCTTCCTTGGAGGGCGGGAGGGGCACGACGTTTGGTGAGTAGTGTTGTGTGTTCAGCTCCTTGCCGCAGTCTGCGGGGCCCTCCCGGGATGGGGTGGGAGGAGAGCGTAACCTCTCGAAAAAACCCGTTCCATGGATGATAAGCAGTACCCCCCCCTTAACCCTTGAGTGGTTAGTATCCCCGGGTCAGACAGATTTGATTGTGGAGAGGGGCGGCGACGCCGAACTTGATTATCGCGGGGGGAGAGTTGCGAATCGAATTTGCGATCTTCGCATTTTGACTAGCAACATCAATGGAGGTCGCACCATTTCAGCTTTCGCACGGCACGAGCGTGTTGCAAGAGAGGTTTCTTGGCCAGGAGCGCCAAGGACCTCTCTTGCGCAGGCCACCTTTAGATGCGAGACTCGCGGACACCAAGGACAGCTTTGTGCCAGGATCTACTTCCACGAGCGCCCAGTATCATCATCATCATCATCATCAGCAGCAGCAGCAGCAGCATCATCATCATCATCATCATCATCATCATCACCAGCATCCTCCGCCGGGAAAAGACGTTTATTATCCCCCCAGACCCCGAACTTTATTACCCCCAGGGGTTTATCATCAGGGGTATTGGGCTAGAGCTTCCCGTAATCGTGGGAAAAGCTCGACACCCGGCATACATGATTATGACAAGGGCCTCCCTGGAGAACCGGTCTGGAGAAGGAAGAGGCCTACAAGGGTTCATTTTCACTGAGGGAAGTGCCCCGTTGGAAGACCACCGCTTGAAAATCCTGAACTGTACCAGACCATTCCTGGCACCGCGAGTGAACCTGAGTGGCGCGCCCTCACAGCTCGACATCGTGCCGGAACACCGTTGCTGGCAGGTTCACGATGAGAACCATCGAGACTGCTGTAAACTCTGAGAACGAATGCGCGCGGCGCTGAGGCGAGAGCCACACTTTGGAAAGGAACCGCCCTCCATTTTTGCAATTCTGTACGGCGAATGCGCGCGGCGCTAAGGCGAGATCCACATTTTGAAAACCACCCGCCCTCCATCCGTGAAGCCGTTGCAATGTTTTAAAGACAACTGCTCGGCGCTAAGGCGAGAGCCACATTTTGAAAACGGCCCGCCCTCCATCCGTGAAGCCTTGCGGATTGTTGATACGAATGCACGCGGCGCTGAGGCGAGAGCCGCATTTTGAAAACGCGCCGCCCTCTATCCGTGGAGGTCTGGTAACCTTTTCAGCTTAAGGATCTTAATGTGTGAGGAAATCTGCGGCGAAACGCCCGCCCTGTCCTACCGACACGCTTCGGGGTGCGACAGGGAGGAGTTATTTATAAGGAAAAGGAAGGAATGGACGAGGAGGAGGAGGAGGAGGAGGAGGAGGAGGAAAAGAGGAAGAGGAAAGGAGGAAGAGCAGGAGGGATGAGGGCTGAAGGAGGGAGGAAAGAGAGGGTTGTTTGGGGAAAACAAGAACCCCGTCTGAGATGTTGGGGAAAAGGGCGCGAGGGTACCACCCCGAGGGCGGGAACAAAAAGATGCGGGGTGGGGACTTCGGTTTCGGGCATCTTGGCCGCATTCTCGCCTCAGAGTGTTTCGAGCCGACGCCGGGTCCGCGGCCGCGAACAGCCGCTGTCGGGACCAGGTGGCGCGGCTGGGCCACGCCCGCAGCATGGCCCCACCTCCGCCTTGCTGCCCTCCAGAGTCCGAGCCGCTTCTCATGATGGGGGACTACATGCCTCTGGGGGAGATGGTATCGGTGCGCGACGACTTGCCCTGCTACGTCGCGAAGCCGCCCAAGCCGTCGAAGCACGCAGTCATCATGTTCACGGACATGTTCGGAGTTGACACTGGCCGCCACAAGCAAATATGCGACGATCTCGCCTCGAATGGCTTCCTGACGATCTGCCCAGATTTCTTCGTCGACGCCCCTTACATGAAGAAACACGCCTGGGGCATCTCTTTAAGCTGTGCTTGCGAGTTCATATGCGGACTACTGTGCGGGGGTTTTGACAAGATAACGAGGGGCCACGCTTGGGAGGTGAGCCTGCGGGAGAAGGTGATGGACAAGGTGGTCCCGTGGCTCCGATCGCAAGGGGCGGACAAGTTTCTAACGGTAGGCTTCTGCTGGGGCTCGTACGGGGCCATGAGATGTTGCGCGTTGCCCGACTTCGTTTGCGGTGTTTCGTTTCACCCGTCCACCGAAGGGTTCTGCAAATCGACAAAAGAAGATGCTCTGGCCATCTGCCGGAGCGTCAGAGCCCCGCAGCTGGTCGTCGCAACCTCCGGGGAACCTGACTCCTGGAAGCCTGGCGGTGTCGCCCAGCGTGCCTGCGAGGAGGCATTGCCCGGCCATATTATTTGGAAGGTCGAAGATAAGATGAGTCACGGTTACATGACGCGCGGGGACACCAAGGACCCTGAGATTTTCGAGGCTGTAAACCGAGGCCTTCAAGATATGATCGCGTTTTTCAAGCGTCACGCATCGTGAAGTAACGCCGAGTAGGACCAGACATTTTTGGAAATGCCCCTTAGCCCAGCCGAGCCCCGTTGAGCAAATATCATCCAGGACCGTGGCCCATCCTTTCAGGAGCAGGTTTCCCCGCGCACTCCTCGTCGCCACGGCTGGACGCATGTCGGATAACTGGTGCGTTTGGACCTCGAGAGGGGTCTGGGGACCCGTTTTGAGCGGATTTTGGCAGAGGGAAGCGGTTGAGGAAGATTATAGAGGACGAGGGTTGAGGAGGAGGATTGGGAAATAGTATGGCGGAGGATGTGAGGGCGAAGAGGAGTGTGCAGGAAGAGGAGGGTTGGGGAGACGGGTTGAGGAGTGAAGCAGTCCAAGGAGGAGAAGGTCGACGATGAGGCGGATGATGCGAGTGATTCGAACGAGGTCGTCCAAGCGCTTGAGCTAATCTACGGGGTCACGGTTGCCCTGGCGCTGGCTTCCAGGACCAATTCAAGACGGCCCAAGAGACCCCCCAAGAGGGCCCGAGACGCACCAAGAGGGCCCCACGAGAGGCCCCCAGAGGCCCAGGCCACCAATTGGCTTCCAATAGGCCCCCGCGTCGCCCCCCATGCGCCCCGAGAAACCCCCAAGAGGCCCCAGGGACCTTCAAAAGGCTTCCAAGAGTGTCCCAGAGGCTTCCCAAGAGCACCCAAGGAACCTCGCTCTCAAAACTGCGATCCCCCTCGATCCTCGATACCTCCCTCCTCTAGGAGCAGGGGGGAGGACAAGAGGAGACCGACTGCTTCAACTGCGTTCCATCTCAGCGCCATGGACGACGCTAGAACCTAAGCGCGCGCGCGTTGCTCGATTTGAGATAGAAGGTACATAATTCAAACATTTATACGTAAACATGCGTGCGCATATCCATACATATACATATATGTATATACACATAGACATACATACATACCTACATACATACATACATGCATACATACATACATACGTACGTACATGTGTTCAGTCATACATGCGTGCATGCATACATGAACACATACATGGTCTCGTCTATACATACATACATACATACATATACACCTACATACATGCATGCATACATGCATACATACATGCATAGTTGCAGGTCTACATAATTGCATACATGCATGCATACATATACATGAACATATACACACACATATATACATGCATACATGCATACATACATACATACGTACTTGCATACATACATACATACGTACATGCACACCTTTACAGACGTGCATGCATGCGCATACACACATACACACACATACATATTTACGCACATGCATACACGTATATACACATATATACACAACCATATATACATACATACACATATGCATGTAACCATGCATATATGCATGTATGCATGCATACCCATCTACATATAGTTATATCCACACGCATACACACATACATACATACACATACATATATACCTATCTGCATAGATGCGTACATACATACATACATACATACATACATACATACATACATACATACATACATACATACATACATACATACATACATACATACATACATACATACATACATACACACACACATACACACATGCGTACATGCACGCACATATACACATACATGCACGCATCCTAGAGGGCCCCGAGGTGTCTCAAGAAGGCTCCAGGGCGGCTCCATGGGAGCCCGAGAAAGCCTGAGGTGGCCCCGAGAGGCTGCAAGAGAGTCCTAGTGACGACCCCGCGAAGGCCCACCCACATGGCCCAAGAATGGGCCCAAGGAGGACGTGCAAAGTCGGAAAGACAGCTTCTTGAATGGTGTTCTGTTGCGCGCCGAGTCGAACAGGTCCACCGCGCCGGCACCCATTATCTCCTGGCTTCCCCTCGTCGCGCCCTCTTCGTCCACTTCGCACTATGCAGAACACTCGTGCGCCTGCTTCCACGGAGACCAAGTCTGCACCCGCTGGCACTCCAGCGCGGGCGGCCTCCATGCTTGCGGGGCCCGTTTACTGAGGAGCCCCCTAGGAGCCCGCCAAGAAAGCCCCTAGGAAGCACGGATGACCCAGAAAGAGACCCCAAGAGATCCCACGCGCCTCAGGAGTCTTGCAGGCAAGAATTTGTAAATTGCGGCGCCAGTGGCCCCAAACCGCGCCCGTAGCCCGGCGAAGACGCCCCAGGGTCGCCCGAGCAACCACGAAAACACCTCCAGCCCCAGCCCACGCGACCTTCCCATGGGATGAGTTCCCATGGGAGGCCCGTGTTGGCCAGCGCATTCGCCAGACCGCAGGTCTCGGAAAACCCGGTCTTAAGTAACATTTCCGTCCTGAGGAGGAAAAAAAAAAAAAAACAAAAAAAAAAAAAAAAAAAAAAAAAAAAAAAAAGTTCGGGCCTCAGTCTGAGGAGGAGGAGGAGGAGGAGGAGGAGGAGGAGGAGGAGGAGGAGGAGGAGAGGAGGAGAGGAGGAGGAGAGGAGGAGGAGGAGGAGGAGGAGGAGGAGGAGGAGGAGGAGGAGGAGCCTCAGTCCGAGGATGCCCGCCAGCTTCAGCTTCTGCGCCGCCCCGGCGGCCTCGCCCTGCGCCCGCCCCCCGACACGCGCGGACCTGCCAGCTGTTGGGGCGCGCCGCGCGGCATCGTTTCAAGCGGCTGGCGGATCGCCAGAGACGGCCTCATGGCGTGCATCGTCAGCCGTTTTTACCTGACAGCGAAGACTGATAGGTTCCTAGTAGGGCCAAAAGAGGGCATCGTGACTCCCGAGGGGGGTCTGGGCGGGATCCAGACAGGGTGCCCCGGGACCCCCCCGGGAAACCGGAGATTCCTTTTTTAGCCAACAGTAACGCACTTCGTGTTCTTCGAGTTCCCAGAACTCCATTCCTGGGCATGATTTCTTCGAGATTCCCAAAACTCCATTCCCGGGCCACATTTTGAATGCTGAGGCAGGCTGAGGCTGAGGCTGAGGCAGGCTGAGGCTGAGGCTGAGGCAGGCTGAGGCCGAGGCCGAGGCTGAAGGCAGACTGAGGCTGAGGCTGAGGCAGGCTGAGGCTGAGGCTGAGGCAGGCTGAGGCTGAGGCAGGCTGAGGCTGAGGCTGAGGCTGATGCAGGCTGAGGCTGAGGCAGGCTGAGGCTGAGGCCGAGGCTGAAGGCAGACTGAGGCTGAGGCTGAAGCAGGCTGAGGCTGAGGCTGAGGCAGGCTGAGGCTGAGGCTGAGGCAGGCTGGCTGAGGCTGAGGCTGAGGCTGAGGCTGAGGCTGCTGAGGCTGAGGCAGGCTGAGGCTGAGGCTGAGGCTGAGGCTGAGGCTGAGGCTGAGGCTGAGGCTGAGGCTGAGGCTGAGGCTGGGCTGAGGCAGGCTGAGGCTGAGGCTGAGGCAGGCTGAGGCTGAGGCTGAGGCTGAGGCTGAGGGCTGAGGCTGAGGCAGGCTGAGGCCTGAGGCTGAAGGCTGAGGCTGAGGCTGAGCAGCAGGCTGAGGCTGAGGCTGAGGCTGAGGCTGCAGGCTGAGGCAGGCTGAGGCTGAGGCTGAGGCTGATGCAGGCTGAGGCTGAGGCAGGCTGAGGCTGAGGCCGAGGCTGAAGGCAGACTGAGGCTGAGGCTGAAGCAGGCTGAGGCTGAGGCTGAGGCAGGCTGAGGCTGAGGCTGAGGCAGGCTGATGCTGAGGCAGGCTGAGGCTGAGGCTGAGGCTGATGCAGGCTGAGGCTGAGGCAGGCTGAGGCTGAGGCCTGAGGCTGAAGGCAGACTGAGGCTGAGGCTGAAGCAGGCTGAGGCTGAGGCTGAGGCAGGCTGAGGCTGAGGCTGAGGCAGGCTGATGCTGAGGCAGGCTGAGGCTGAGGCTGAGGCTGATGCAGGCTGAGGCTGAGGCAGGCTGAGGCTGAGGCCGAGGCTGAAGGCAGACTGAGGCTGAGGCTGAGGCAGGCTGAGGCTGAGGCTGAGGCAGGCTGAGGCTGAGGCAGGCTGAGGCTGAGGCTGAGGCTGAGGCAGGCTGAGGCTGCAGGCTGAGGCTGAGGCAGGCTGAGGCTGCAGGCTGAGGCGAGGCCGACGGCAGACTGAGGCTGAGGCTGAAGCAGGCTGAGGCTGAGGCAGAGGCAGGCTGAGGCTGAGGCTGAGGCAGGCTGATGCTGAGGCAGGCTGAGGCTGAGGCTGAGGCTGATGCAGGGTGAGGCTGAGGCAGGCTGAGGCTGAGGCCGAGGCTGAAGGCAGACTGATGCTGAGGCTGAAGCAGGCTGAGGCTGAGGCTGAGGCAGGCTGAGGCTGAGGCAGGCTGAGGCTGAGGCTGAGGCAGGCTGAGGCTGAGGCTGTGACTGCGACTGCCGTTGTCACTGCGACTGTCATCGCGAATGCGACTACGACTGCGAGAATAGCAGAATTCTACAACTGGATTCTCATCTGAATCTTAAGGGGAATGCTTCCAGGTATGCTCCTACACATCGCTGTTAGGTTGCTTTGCCGGGATTTTTTTTCTGTACGGGCGTGGGCGGTCAAGGGCCGACGCGGTGGAGCCTTAAACCTGTCGCGCTGATCCATTTGAAAGAGTGCGTTGGCGATCCCGACGAGAAGGGGAAGGAAGGACGGAGGCGACGCACACCGACGCGAGGGAAGGAAGGAGTACCACGGCAACGGCGTGAGGAGAAGGAAGAGAGGAAGAGTACGATCTCGAGAGGAGGCCGTGGATTCGGCCAGGGAGTTCAGAAGAGCGACATCCGAGCCGATGTGTTGCGCAAGGCAGGGCCCCTCCGTTTGCTGGGCCCCATGCACAGTCTCAGGGCCGTGGCCTGGAGGACGAGGAAAAAGGTCCAGCGAGAGCCCCCCGCCCCGAGCAAGAACACACCAAGTCGGCCCAAGACAGGCCGACGACGGTTCCAAGACAGCCTAACGATGTCTTACCTCAACGGAGGAAAAACCACCCAGACCGGACAATTGGCGTTTACTAAACGGCCCCGGGCGTTTGATAAACAGCCTTGCCCTGTTTGATTTCTTCTTTGGGTGCGTTTACTAAACGGCTTCGCGTGTCGGGGTGGTTATCATCGGGGTGGATTTTCTGCCCTCTATTACCTCAAAGACGGACCCCGCCAACATGCGTCCAAGAGTTTCGGCGATGTTTTAGGAGCCTTCTGGTGGCGCGTCCCATGGCCCGTTCCGACGGCTCCACGCCCGTCCACGGAGCCCAAGGACCCCCCAAGCGAGGCCTGCATAGCCAGTGTTGGGGTTACTTGGGGGCCACTCCGGGGCCCGTCTCCGGTCATCGGCGTCTCGTCTGCCTTCTGGAGCCGGGTTCGACCTAAAAGTAACGTCTTCGGAATCGGCTAGAACCTAAGCGCGCATGTAGCGCGCGTGTTTGTAATATATACATATATATATAGACATAGACATAGACATAGACATAGACATAGACATAGACATTTACATACGCATGCACACATACACTTACATATCTACAGATATAGCACACACATATGTGTATATATCTCTATATATATAGAGAGAGAGATATTACATACACACGCAAGGCTGCATTAGCGCTTCGCGCCAGGCGCCGTGTTCCGGACGCTTCCCCGGCAAAACAATAAATCGCCGCTTGGTTCAGAAGGGGGACCTCGAGGCTTGGGCGGGCGACGGACTCATTTTTTCTGATATCCCTGGTGCCTGCTGACGCCACGTTCGCCCGATGCGCTTGCGCGCTTGTGCGCAGGAGTGGGGAAGGAATGGTGATTTTTTCACGCGCGAAGGTGCTGGCAAACGAAGAAACATCGAATTGTTGCGATGGCACTTGTCCATGAACGGGGAACGGGAAGGGAGCAGGGATGAAGGGGGGGTTGAAGAGGCGGAAAGGGGGAGGAGTGGGGGAGACTTGTCTCTCTCGATCGAAGAATTGAAACCTCGAGCCTCAAGCGTGGAACCAAAGTCTCCGGGTGAGTTCGATGCACTTCGTAGGAGAGCGCCGTCTGGGCGTTTTTGGGGTTCTTTTGGGCCGTCCTGGGGCCCTCTTGGGCCGTCTTGGGGAGCTGGGGCCCTCCAGAGGTCTTCCGAAGCTATCTGGGGCCCTCTTGGGGGCCTCCAGTGGCTTTTTGAGGGGTCTCCCGTGGCTTTCGCGGGTCTCTGGTGGGAGTTGTTTGGCGGCATCTTGGGCTTCTTGTGGCCAGTCTCGGGGCTCTTTGGGGCAGTCTTGGGGCCCTCTGGGGCCGTTTTCAAACCCTTAAGGGGGGCCTGTTGGGCCGTCTTGGGGCGATATCGGGGGCCCACCGGGCCGTCGTGGACGCTGCGAAGACCCAAAAAGCGGAGATGCTAAACATATACGTTTTCCACAGGAAATGGGGCGATGCTTGCTTCTTCGGGGCTCACTTAACGCCCTCTTGGGGCGTGTTGGGTTTGTTTTGGGCCGTCTCTAGACCATCGAGGCTCCTCTTGGAGCGCTCCTGTGCTGTTTTGGGTCTCGTGCGCCTTCCCGATGAACCCTCTGATCGCCTTGAGTCTGCTCGCAAGGCCCTGCAAGGCGCCTTGGGGGGCCTGGACGGGCCAGCGGACCTTTTTTCCAAGTGCGTCCACGGGGCCGCCGAGACGTCCGAAAGGGCGTGCGGGGCGTCCCTGGGGGGGTGTGGTTTAAAGGGGTATGGGGAGTATAACTATAGGAATATATGTATGTGTATATATATGTGCATACATATATATACACATACATACATACATACATACATACATACATACATACATACCTACATACCTACATACATACATACATACATACATACATACAGACATACATACATACATACATACATACATACATACATACATACATGCATGCATACATACATACATACATACATACACACACACATGCATGCATGCATGCATGCATACATACGTACATACATACATTTATACAGACACACAGACATACATTCATACACACATACACACATACACACATACACACTTACCCTGCTGTAGGTCTCGGAAGTCTTCAAGCATTCAGGCGGTCTCGGGGCTCCCGAAAGGCGCTGGGTGGAGGGCGAAGGATCGGAAAGAGGGAACCTCGGGGAGCGAGGAGAGGGAAGCGGATGTGGGGAAGACGAGTGGTGGAACGGCAGAAAGAGAAGGAGATGTTACCACTTGATACTTCCTCCAGATTCAGGCTTCAGGAGCCCAGAAATGACGACGGCTACAGGGTTGAGGGTGACCCGCTCGGATTGCCAACATGAAATGCGGGACCCAGGGCTCCCGCTTGAAATTTCTTCCCAATTTACTCACAAACGAAGCTCCCGCTGATGCTTCCCACATGTTCACGCCTGAGGAGCCCAATAGTGACGACCGTTACAGGGTTGAGGATGACCCGCTCGGGTTACCAACGTGAAGTGCGGGACCCATAGAGAGGAGGTTCCCGTCTGAGCCTTCTTCGCAATTCATTCACAGACGAAGTTCCCGCTTGATACTGCTTCCATATTCAGGCTTCCTGGGCCCAAACGTGACGACAGCTACAGGGTTGAGGATGACCCGCTCGGATTACCAACGTGAAGGGCGGGACCCATAGGGAGGAGGTTCCCGCTTAAGACTTCCTCACGATCCTCTCAAAGACGAAACTCCCGCCTGATATTCTTCCTCCGTGTTCAAGCTAGGGGGTGAATGGTGACGAAGCGATGATTGACTGAATGATGATGATGATGGTGAGTGAGTGGATGATGAGGATGATGATGATGGTGAATGGGTGAGTGATCGAGTGATGAGGATTGTGATCCTAATGGTGGGCGTGAGTGTGCGAGAGTGAGTGACTGAATGATCGCGTAATGACGATGGAGTGAGTGAGCGAGGCGGGGAACGGGAGGGAGTGTGTGTGTGACTGTGTGAGAGTGTGCGATGGTGATGATGAAGATGAAGAGAGGGGGGGAGGAGAGATCCTGCGCGGGTGTGTGTGTGTTTGTCGAGAAAAACAAGAACCCCG